GTTACAGGGTTGTCCCATCCTCCTTTTGACAATATTTCATTATTCTTACTTTATACTGAGTATTAGACAAAATCAGGTATTTTTCATTAATTCCTTATAATATGGTCAGTAATTAAGTCATCAAATCAGATTGAAAGAATCAAAACACTTTCCTTCAATATACAATATTAGGATTAACAATATACCACATGAAAGCCAATTTCTCAAAGGTTATTTTTAAAAAATTAACATTGTTTCATTTCATTACAACAGACCATTAGGAAGGGAAGAGAAAGGTGGGGAAAATATTAGAGTAGAAAAGGATGAGATTCCTGCAACTCTTTTTAACACCTCAGGAGGAGTAAGCAGTATATTTCCTCCTCTTCTTTTGTTGTGTTTTTCCCTTTTTAATCACCGTAAAAGTCAAGGGAACAAAGAGTTCTTCCAGGTAGGCCTAGGAGGCGAAAAGGGCGGAAGACCCCGTTCTTCACAATCTCATGAGGTTTCCTTTTGAGATTCTCATGAGGTTTTGTCAGCAGGGAAAGTTTCCTGTGCAAGTTTTCTTTGCAAGTCGACTTGCAAAGAAAACATTCAAGGTGAGGACGACTTTGAAAGTTCCTTCTGCAAGGATTTTTCTTTCGTCAGAGCGTTCTTCATACCAATTTTTATGAAAGCGAAGCATTCAAGATGGCTCTCTTCACCTCTTCACAAGGAAACAACGTGTGGCAATGCAATTTGTCACTATTCTTTTTTTAAAGAGAGATAACGGAAGGACGCCTCTCGATTTGGGTTAGGAACTTCTTGCAGCAGAGACATGAACATGGTGCTTATTCGTTTCTCATGAGAAAGCTTCTGATTGAAGACCCCTCCCTTTGATTCAATAATTTTGAACGAATGAGTAGGTAGGCTTTTGAGGAACTCCTGAGACGAGTTGGATCACTTATTTCGCGAAAGGACACTCACTATCGTGAGTCCATTTCGGGTGGAGAGACGCTGGTAATTACTCTGCGATTTTTGGCAAATGGAGACAACTTCACCAGCCTCTATCGAGTATCTCTACCGCTTGTCAAAAACAAACCATATATTCTTTAATCCCAGAAATGTGTGAGGCTTTGTAGAGGGTGTTCATTTTACCTGTTAGCACAGAGAAATGCAAATAAAAAGAAATAATTCTGATAATACATAGAAACTTGGTGATATGAGAACTAGGCCCTTATTAAGTGCAAAATGACAATGACAGTCACATGTTGGAAGTGGTCATCACAATGTCCAATACATTATACATTTTCAAATACATTTTGCACTTACAATGTCCTTGTTCTCATGCCGCCAAATTCCATGTATCTCTGAATTTTAGTCCCTTTTTTATTTGCCTTTTTTGGGGTTAACTGGTAAAATGAAGACCGTGTAATTCACCCTGGCTTAGTTCATGCTGTTTATCAGGGGATAGTCATAAGGCAATTGGAATTCTCAACACAGCACCTATGCAATACGCATGCGCAATAATTTTTCAATTTCAGCCGTCTGACCCAGTTCTAGCCATTTTTTTTCCGAGCTCCTGTAACGGAGGTCCCTATCTAGCTCTCTACACCTCATACAACACTAATCAGTATGCTTTCGAATAAACGAATGCATTCGGTCTCTTTGAAAAAGAGAGTGAGGGAAGATTTGCTGAGTTTTTCTCTCCTGGAACTGGAATCCCTGGCAGTCATTCCATGTCAAGTGGTCCAATTTTCGCCAATTTGGGTGCTGTACCGACTGGGATTTTGCTGTTCAAAATATCATGTGCATTGTGGGTTATGCGAAACGGATAAATCCGAAATTTCAGCTTTCTGGTTCCAACAACCTTTGAGATATGTCCTTTGAAAGTTTCAGAGGGAAAGGTAAAATGACCCCTCAAACAAATGTAATATCTCCCGAACTACTTTAGCTAGAAATATGAATAATAGCTCATTTCAAAGCGAACAGCCAGGCATCTTTAGCATTCTCTACAGGTTCTTCCGTGCCTTAATTGGAAACAAGTTACAGCTTAAATTCATGAAATAATCAAATTTTCAACTTTAAAAAATTCACAGTAAAAATGGGTATAACTATTAGCTTTTGGGTGTCATTCTCATCATTTCTATCATTCTCTATGAGATTGATAGAAAGATACGTGTATTTTGTTTTTAAGTCGCTCCAAAATTCTGTTAAATGTACATAAATTTGCATATTTTGCCATTTTGTTCAACTTTGACCTTTAATAACTTTTCTTTGATTCCAAGTACAGTTTTGCTTATGCCATAGAATGACAGATCTCTCAAAGCTCTTTGGAGTCGTATAAGTTTGATCGTGTTTTTCTGAAATCCTGATAGTTGAGAAATTTTCCTCGACCATCTTGAGACCTCATTCACCATTAAGCGCTTAACTCCACCTCGATCATGTTCGAGCAGGAAAACATATACTCGATATGATGGGTTGAACACGGCTTTTGAAGCACATATGCGTTTTAAACATTATGTTATTTAAAATTTCTTTGAAATTTAACTCATTTTGAAAACGAAAATTGAGACATTGCCCAGATTTTTCAGATATATCACCCAACAATACAAAAAAATTTCGCTCTCCGTTTCTGCTAATGTCTTCCTTACATTTGTAAGTGACTTTCGAGAAGCTATAAAAAAAATGCTGAGAATTGACATTTTGTGAAGTAATCTCGTCCAAAACTGTCACGATCACCAAATCTGGAAATGAGCTCCCCGTTTATTTCCACTGGGCCAAATCTGAAATATATAAACTCATATGCATTGAAGCAATATTAAGATTACATCATTAGATACCACAATGAAAATATATCATTAGATGACACTCGTTGCTTTGGTGAAGTCGAGATAGGCACGTAGTAATTATAGAAAGGTTAAACGAAATGAGAAAAGTTAGACTTTCTCAAGGAACATCAGGGAATGAATGGGTTATTGAACAAAATGAATCCAAAACGCTACGTTAGTAATACATTTACATTATATTATTAATGATAAAATCGCAATATAGTAGAAATGTGGATGCATTTAAATTGTAGTGTGTGTTTCCCAGTTCAAATGTATGGCACACATATCGTGATTTCGATGTCATGACAGTTTTGGATGGGATCGCTTTCCAGGGATTCTATTATTGGGAGGACGTTAGGAGGAACGGGAAGCGAAATATTGATGTTTTTGATGGTGTATTTGAAAAGCTAGGCAATGTCTAAATTTTCGTGTTAAACATGTTAAATTTCAAAGAAATTTTAAATAGCATAAGGTTTTCAATATCTAAAAATAGTTCGGGAGATATTGCATTTGTTTGAGGAGTCATTTTACCCTTCTCTCTGAAAATTTCAAAGGGCATTATCTCAAAGACTGTTGGACCTAGACACCTCAAATTTCGTATTTACCTATTTCTCATAACCCACAGTACACATGATTTTTAGCAGCAAAATCCCAGTCGGTGCAGCAACCACCTTTGGACCACTTGACATGGAATGACTCGGCAGCGGGATATGCAATGAACTGAGGAAGTGTTTTAGGTCTTTTTTACATGCCATTGGTTAATCAATGCTTCGCTGAAAATGAATGTGTCGCATTTACTAAAATGCTTTGCGTCTCTTTTACATCCCCAACGTCGGCCAGAAATAGTTTGTAGGAAAACGACAATTTTCATCGCTGCCTGCTCCACTCCTCATTGATAAGTCCACTTTCTTCTCTGCATTCCATTCGTCTTTCAAAGTTACGAATTTTATATTGCACTTCAGTCACCGGTAATTCCAATTCCGTTACAAGATTAGATCAATCAGCTCACTTTCGTCGTACAGGACATTTTTCACGTTCCGAAGGCAGTCTTCATTTCGATTCAATTCAATTGTTTTCTTCCCTGTCCCACTCCATCTTCGACACTGAAATCATTCACCTATGCTAGAAACGTAGACTGGCTTTCTACTTGCGAAAGTCTCTTGCAAAGTGGTTTAAATAGAGAAATTCTAGCAAAGGAAACTTTTAAAGACGTTCACGCCATGAAAGTTTTCTTTGCAAGTCGACTTGCAAAGAAAAATTGCATAGAAATCTTTCCGGTGGGGACGAGACCTAACGCCCACGTGCTTTATCAGAGACAAACGACTTAAAGCATTACTTTTTTTTCCACTGATTTGCGCCCTAGAATGATAATGCTTCATGAGTTGCCTTCTCCCAAAAATTTTTTGTGTCATTCCCAGATGGAGAACTGTGTGGTGTTGATTTCTGATGAGAAGACTAAAGAGATCTTCACCGATGCCCTCAAATTCATTTATTCACTCAAATTGACGAAAGATACAACTGAACCAATTGTTCACGAAAAGCTACAGATCTACCATCCAAGAGATTATTGTGGATGTGAGAGTCCCTTGGTGGTGTGTGTGGGGGTTGAGGATTCCTGGATTGTGGAGGGAATCACCCGTGCCATCCGCACACTCTTAATCGTGGATGCGGGAACTCACTCCAGAGTAGAGAGTAGGATGAGATTGTGGAAGGAATTGGAGCAACAAGGCCTCCTCTGCCACTATTCCCAGTCATTCTCTTCTATCCTTGATTCATTATCTGATGATGACTGGAGGGCACTGAATCGGAAATGGCAGTTCCTTAAGGTAGTTTTCATGCTCTATCTCCGTTATTCACAGAATTGTCAAATAGCTCAAGTCTGCCATATCCTGACGCACATGCAAAAGTACAGATCAATACAATTTATATTGTGCGTTCTGCAGATCCCCAGGCGTCCTGTTATGGAGGCCGACACGAGAAGAGAGACCTTTGTTCCAGAAGGTAACATAAAAATGTTCACTAATGGAAACTTTTCACAACCCACCGATGGAACTATTAGTTTTATTATTAGTTCCTCATCCAACAATTTTACTTCAACTGAAAGAAATGTTTACCTGTGTCCTCTTCCAATAGAGTTCTTGCTATAATATGAGAGACTGTGGATATTTGTTAACGGGGAAGGTTTTTATAATTGTAACAGACTGCTGTTTCGTTAAAAATGACTTCCTCCTTTACATCAGTTATCAGAGGGAGATTAGAAGGCAATTTTAACAACGTGCCCTGGTTTCTTCAGTTTAAGAAGCATACGAGGGCTACCAATGAGAAAAACTTCCCAGAACTTTCATCAGGGAGAATAACACTCAAGTAACAGGGTCAAGGATTTACTGTTATGATCAAACAGTGGCTTGTTTACGTCAAATTTTTATAGAAAAGCAGCAATGAGAACGGTTACAATCGTTTTTCAGTTTGGGGCGCATAGGACGTCATTGGTATTCGCAAATCTTTCATGGAACGTCACAATTAACTGTTGGACAAGTTCCAATTGCTTTTAGAGCAAGTTCCAATTTTCCTGAATTTTTGGGAGGAATGTTAACCAATTATAAGAGATCGTCCAAAATGGGCTAAGGACATCAAGAAAGAGGAATCAAAGACCCACCCCGTTCCGGTCAGCCACTCTCCGCTTTTCTTATAATTCGAAGAATAGCTATCAGAACCTTAACCCATTAATTCCTAACGTTTTCTGTAATGTTTCGGAACACATTTTCTGCATTTTGAGTAGACTGTGACTAAGATAACCAGTAATGCAAATATAAAATTTGTGTCATTTATGGCATAGTCAATGCACGAATGAGACGCTGGAATTTTTTTTTGTTTAGGGTGATCCTGTCAGATCGACCAATTTTCTCATGATTTCATGGTCGACCATCATCAATTTGGCTGAAATTTGGTGAGGAGGTAGTGTTTGTTGACCCAAAAACGGGAAATCCAAAATAATTTTTTTAATGACCAATGGTGTGTCCGTGGCGAGGTCACAAAATTGTGACCTATTTTAGCTGGTCCGGCTGACCTCTATCAGCCTTTCTTCAATAACTCCTTAGCTATTTGCCATAGAATGTTCATTTAGGACTCCTTTTAAAGGTCTCTTTTAGCTCTATCTTGTAAATTTATTTCAAGCTAATATTCATGAATACTCATATTATATAAAAATTCGAAGGCGCTTGACCTTTGACCCTTCATATAAAAAATATGTAATGTTTAAATTTCACCAAATTTACTCGATAACACGGAAATAATATGGTAATGAAGCTCATAAATTTTCAGGAGGATGTTTTGCCCCAGTTTCGAGATATTTGTAAAAATGTGCTTGACATTTTCCGTTTTTGGATCCATTATTTTCAGGAAGCTCAAAATTTTTATTTGTTTCTTCGGCAATGTGGATTAGGCCGACCTATATCATATTGTCTTAATTATGCGCATATGGAGTTCATATATCTTTAGACTAGGTTTTTCAACCAGCCATGGGACAGGTTCAACAACAGAAAACATTTTCAATAAAATACTGTTTACTAGGCTTCGGAAAAATCTTATTCACGTAAGGAAACTGTGATATCTAGCATATCTTCCTTCGGCACACCCGGAGCTTCTGAATGTGATCCGACATTCAATCCTGCTTCAGGATATTCTGGTGAGACACAGCGAACTCCCAATACACTCCTGCAAAATTATCGATATAGCCCTGATAAATACGGCCCGCCTGTCTGGTAGTCGTGGGGCACAGTATGCAGAAGGCAAGCTAAAGAATTCAGCAACTATGAAAGCGCAATTGGAATCGATAGCCAAGGCAGAGAATCCTACAGGAAGAACTTAGGCTAGGATAGATCTTGATTCAAGAAAAATTACTTTTCAGTCGGTATTGGATGAACTGAAGGAGAAATTCCACAGCACGGAAAGTCGAGAGGTAAAAATCCAGATCCTGACTATGGCTCCAAGAGGTTGGACATTAGATGAATTGGCCAAGTTCTTTGAAGCCACCAAGTAAGGTGTGAAACTGGCAAGAAAAGTGAGGGAGATGGAAGGAGTCCTGGCGAAACCAAAGAAGATTGAAGGCTACAAACTACCCAAAGCAACGATGGATTTGATGAGGTAATTTTAGCATGATGACTCAGTTTCTGGAACGTGTCCAGCTGCAAAGGACTATGTCCCTGTAAAAATAGAGAATGTCAGTCGAGAACAACGAACCAAGAGATTGGTCCCTGGCAACCTCAAGGAAGTGTACCAAGCATTCCAAAACAAAAATCTAGATGTTCCGGTTGGGTTTTCAAAGTTTGCCCAAAATAGTGTTCTGATAGGTGGATGTGGTATTCATACCGTGTGCGTATACACGATACATCAAAATTTCAAGCTGGTGTTACATGGGGGAAGAATTAGGCAAACCTACAAAGAACTGACCTCCAATATTGTCTGTAACCAGTCAACAGAAGCCTGCTTTGTGGGCCAATGCAAAAGCTGCCCGGGAATGGAATTCCTGCAAGAGTACTTGCTAATTAGCTTTGAAAAAGGTATGGTGGACACGATTACCTACAAACAGTGGGTGTCCACTGATCGGGCAAATCTGGAGACGGCTCAGCAGAGGAGTTTGTGGCATGAGTTGCTGTCGAATCTAACAGCTGAAAACCCACGATTTCATTGCAAGAGAACAAGCTGCATATCTAAGACAAAGAAAGAACTCCAACCTTGGGAGGGGATTTTCTTTGGTGGCTTCTCAGAAAACTATGCATTTGTTGTGCAAGATGAAGCGCTAGGATTTCACTGGAACAATGGCCAAGAAACATTGCATCCATTTGTCTGCAATGTTCGAAACGAGGATTTCGTGAACTGGTGCGTCTAAATTTCTGCATCATTTCAGATTCATTCTTCAGGAATCTTTTCATCACAATCCTGAATGATAAAGTCCACGGGATATCGAGTACCTTCTACTTCTCTGATGGTGCAACTGCACAATATGAATTATAAAAAACTTTTCAAACCTGTGCCTTCACGAGGCTGACTGGTATGGCCGCACTGTGACACTTCTTTGTGACGAGTTACGGAAAAGGTCCATGTGATGGCCAAGGTGGGACTGTGAAACGTCTGGCCACAAGGGCCAATATCCAGCGGCCAAACGGTGGACATGCCCCAAGTGCAATGGACCTTTTCTACTTTGCAAAAGCCTGCATGAAAAATATCCATTTCATGTATGTGAAGGAGGTGGTCGAGTATCAGAAATAACACTTCAGCCGCGATTCCAGTCCGTCCAGCCAATTCCAGCAGCCCGGAAACATCATTCATGCATGCCAATTGATGCGAACCACCTACAAATCCGAATCTACTCTGCTGCCTAAACCAGTTCCGTTTGAAATGAAATGAGATAAAAGCTTACATCCTTTCACCTCAATTCCTAAATGTCATATTTCATGTGCTGTATGTTGAAACATGAGATTCAAAATGAAAAAAGGTGTAGAGCAGCTAATTCAACCTATTCCGATACCACGAGTCAGTCACATTGATAATGTTGGAGCAACATTAAATTTTTTTGAGTCTTCGAAAAATAATGGATCCAAAAACGGAAAATGTAAAGCACATTTTTACACATATCTCGAAACTGGGGCAAAACATCCTCATGACAATTTATGAGCTTCATTACCATATTATTTCCGTGTTATCGAGTAAATTTGGTAAAATTTACACATTATATATTTTTTATATGAAGGGTCAAAGGTCAAACGCCTTCGAATTTTTATATAAAATGAGTATTCATGAATATTAGCTTGAAGTAAATTTACAAGATAGAGCTAAAAGAGACCTTTAAAAGGAGTCCTAAATGAACATTCTATGGCAAATAGCTAAGAAGTTATTGAAGAAAGTCTGATAGAGGTCAGCCGGACCAGCTAAAATAGGTCACAATTTTGTGACCTCGCCACGGACACACCATTGGTCATAAAAAAAAATTATTTTGGATTTCCCGTTTTTGGGTCAAACACTACCTCCTCAGCAAATTTCAGCCAAGTCGATGATGGTCGACCAAAATCTCTGGTCGATCTGACGTGGAATGACCTGAAAGAGAAGAATGTGTATTACACGTTGCCATGTAACTAATTTCAAAATTCACATCCTGTTAATTGTCCCGATGGGAGGAAATGTGTTAAGGCAGTGCGTGTAAAGCCTGCATGTACACGACCCTCAATGAAATCGTAAAAAAATTTTTTAGGCATATTATTGCAGTATCCAATCCAGTATCGCAACCCGGGGCCGGTCGTCAACCGGCCCTGGGGCCGGTCACCAACCGCTCTCGAGCGTACTACGAGATTTCTCAAGGCCCGTCACCAATGTTTTAAATAAGCATGTCACCTCATGGAAGTGAAACCGTTCCGAAGAACAAATCTCAACATACCTTCTAATTCGGTTGCAGGGAACCAGGAAATTTTCGCCATGGCGAGAGGGAAAAATGCCCGAGTGGGTTTGTGGGAAGTTCATCCCAACGAAACGCACTGGGTCCAGGAACCTCATAGCGTTAAAGACGTGTTCTTGGCTCACTCGGAAAAACTGATCCAAGCCAAAAGAGGAAAAGTCCGCATTCTCCATCTAGAGGGAAAACGTACTGATGAGTCCCCTTACCATTGGGATGAGGTACTAGACATCCCCCACCCGTTCATCGTCAATGCGACAGCTGCAGTTATTATCCACGATACTCTCTTCCTTCTTGGAGGGGAGGAAAATCCCAAGGAAGTACGCCAATTGGACTTGGGTAACGAGGTGTGGACGACCCTCCCCTCAATGAGAGAAGGGCGAATCAGGGCAGCTTCAGTGATGCGGGACCCACACACCATCCTGGTTTTGGGGGGTTCGGACCCAGAAACAGACAAGCAACTTTCCAGCTGCGAGTGCCTGGATACAAGATCGGGGCAATGGTACCCCTTCCCCCATCGCATGCCCGTTCCTCTTTCGAGCCACGCAGCCACGATCTTCAAAGATCATCTAATCATTTCGGGGGGATGGAATATGGAAAAACAAGAATCAAGGGGGAATGTGTGGCAGTATAGTTTGAGTGGTGGAGAAGGCAAGTGGCAGAAACTCCCCGTTTTGAAGAAGAAGAGACATGATCATGGAATAATAGCAGGGGAGAAGGGGACGATCTTCGTCGTCGGCGGGACTTACACGGAGGGTCAGAAAGTTACCAATGTTCTCCATACAGAAACGTTGACCCTGGATGGGGGAGGGCGATGGGTCACCCATGAGGCAGTGCCCTTTCAACGTCTCTTCAAAGCGACCAAGATGACATGAATTTCCAGAGGGTGGGTTTCGTTTTCCCACCATGCCGAAGAAAGCAGAGAAAGCGGAGTGAAAAAAGCTTTACAAACAGAATGAACTCTCGCTTGCTATCCATGTGAATGTCAGGGCAAAATTAGCCAATTTATTCTCGTCGAATTTGCCAGCTCACACAGTGACCACGCACAGGCCTTTTGCTTTTGCGTCGTTGTCATGGTTAATTTTTACGTCATGAACAAATTGAACGATATGCAACGATTTGCACAGACATGGCGATTGTTAATCTGTATCCAGTTTCCGCTTGATTGCAGTTCAAGTGCGAGGGCCAACAGTCGAAGTAAGCAATTTTTCCGGTCCGTTCCGGAAGTGTCCCATCATTAGTTTCGAAAAGTGTGGATTGAATTAGCAGAATGGAAGAATATTAATCTCATTTAAGAACTTGAATGAAATTTATAAAAAAAAATATTTCAATTGTAACGCAACGTAAATGATAAGTGATTAAATATTCCAACTGACAATCGTTCACATTACATCCTCCATACATTTTCTCTGCAGCGAGGTGGCTTTGTCCTGATGCTTCCAACGTCCCTGCAACACTTACCCACAAATGAACTCTGATTGCCCAACTTAATAGTCAACTACCCTGCGACATGGTTTCCTTCGATCATAGAGGAAGAAAGGAACCGCATGTGAATGTAGGCATAGAAAATCTCCAGCATATTTGCTGGAGATTTTCTATGCCTACAAACATCATTAATTCCCAAATACTCTTCAGAGGAGTACGTTGAAGTCATGTGCTTCTTAATGGCGAATATCACACGTATTTTTATATCATCAACGAATAAATAGAATATTTTTCAACCTATCCATCATCTTCCAAATATCTGTACATATCCTGTTATCGAAGTTTCAGGCGGAGTTGTAACTTCTGGTGCCTTTTCACTCGCAAAAACATCAGCATGTGCGTTTACATTTTAAATTATCTATTTGCTACCATCACATATGTATTTACTCCATATCAATATCCATGTTGCTGCATCCATATACAGTATGTACAAGGACGTACATTTCACACGTTTTCATGCATGTATAAAGTGGATAAAATGACAATCTGCTTCCAATAACCTTTAAAATTTGTATACCAGATGGGACTCTAATTTTTTAATATACAATCATAATTTGGAAGTTTCCCTTCAAAGAAAACTGACGCTAATCGATTTTTCAGGTGCTTATAATGTATTATTTGCTTTGGTTTCTAATTTCTTAATTTTTCCATTTTGTTGAATAAATTCATGCCTCACCTTTGTCACTATTTATTTCAGAAAATTTGAAACTTTTGTAAGATGCCTTCCAGTCACCATAATTTACCTTCTTCAGCATATGGAAATTATGTTTGACTTACAGTAATAACTGGAGAACTTATTCAAGAGTTGAGACGAAGTGGTGAAGGAGAAAGTAATTCCTAAAAAGTAATGGGTGCAGACAGGATGACTTTTCCTTCCCCACAGGGGAAGCAAGGGACAACTTTAAGACATGGAGATATCCCAGGGATGTAGTTAATACCAACCCTGACATTGCCTCAATAACTTAGAGATGAAAATTACTCCGCCTTAATCACATTGAAAAACATCCTATCCTGGAGTGACGAGGACACTAAGTCCATGTTCACTTTCCACTCGTTGGTTGACGAATCCAGCTGGAAAGCTGGAAGATACTGTCACATGCATGGGATGCAAAGGTTTGACTTAATTTAAATGGATGCAAACGGACTCCCTTTCCTTGGCCTACTCCAAGGAAAAGACCCCTGTCGAAACAAGGTTTTCGTGGAAGTAAACCTGAAAAATAAACTTTTCTGGACTGACCTCCTTCCCTTTTTACGACCTCTTCAACCCTTGAATAAAATATAGAATCTCTCAATCAATTGATTCCACAAGTGCTAATCCCTATTATGGCAGTCCTCGGGGGCAGTAGGCAATGGGGCTACATTAGGATTCAATAAACAGACTATACACAGCTATAACAGATTATATTGTGGCCAAAAACTGTCGATCCTCCTCAGAGCTAAGGAGCCAGCCATGTTATTCTCTGCACCCCATCACCCCCTTATCCCGAGAACACAGTTATCTTCCAAAAATTACGTAACTGTCTTTTCAAGTAGTATATAACCCACGGAGATCCAGCACAGAGCAGAGTCATCGTGTATCGTCGCAGGACCCAAACAATGTGGAAAAGTAGTGCAGGGTAGGTGCTACCACAACACATGCGTTACAGGTTCAAAGTGCTTTCAGAACTACACACCTTGTCTTGTTACTTTCCGATCATCCCTCGTAGATACATTATTTCAGTGCATATGCGAGCAGGGAAAATTGGTGTGTACACGCAGTGGAACGAAGCTGAACCTAGCAACAGAGAAATTTCGTAGGTGAGAGTTCTTCCACAATGCATTCCCAGAATTTTATGTTTCTCCGAAGATAGATGGCTTAGGTCATGAGGCACTTCCAAGGACATGGCAGGATCAGTTAGGATAATTATTTCCATCCAGCAGAATGTCTCTATTGACACTGAGACAGAAAAACAGCAAGACAAAGAGATAAAGACACAGGAAAAAAAAAACTCAACAGAGTGAACTTATTTTGTGCCATCGATGGTTTCCTGCAAGTGTGCCTACACCCATCATTCCATTCTAGTTAAGTCATCATTAGCCGCCACAAAACCTGCAGTGATCCATTCTCAATATGGAATTTCGCGAATCCACTTCACACATCCGTCTGCTCTAGTTGAGTGAATGGATTGGTTTGCTGCCATGCTCGCTAAGGCAGAATTAAAGAAACTATCAACTTGGAATTAATTTTTTTTTAACTTTTGAGTGGGGGGCAGATATTTTATGATTTATTAGTTTTGCAGGACAAAGTAAACAGTCTGCCACATTTTTGAAAGAAAACGTAGTTGTTCTGAAATGCAGGAAATTGTCATTTCCTTGTTAAAATATTGGGGAGCAAACGCGTTCAGATGTCATACGATTAATAGCGTTATGTGCATTGGCTGATGATTTATAGGGACGAAAGCAATAGCAGACTAGGGCGACCAATTGGAGAGTTATGTTAAGCCTATAGATGTGCGGAGCGAAGATTCTAGCTTGGCTGCTTCCTTACGATTGCAAGTCAGCGACTTTTTAGTATTAGTGACTGCGAATGAAAATAGAGCCATGGGAAGGGACGAGGATATCTCGAGTTGGAAATGGCTTACTTTTTGCAAGGGAAAAGTCATTTTGGAAATTTGAAGTTACATTTTCACTGTCTCGTCAATCTTGCACAGCGACTGCTACTCACGCTCGCGACCTGGGTAATGCGTGAGTGGTGAGTGCTGCTAATCTGGCGACGAAGAGCAGGTAAGTGTAATGCCAAGATGCCTAAAGGGGACTCGATTGCTAGACCTCCCTGGTTTCTGCGAAAGGCGGTGTGATACAGAGCGTGCCTAGTAGGCGAGCCATGAAATGGCAAGAAGTGCGACGCGTCAAAAGCATAACTGCTTTGGAGCGAAGGGGGAGAAAAGGCCTTGCTAGAGAAGGAGCGGGACAGACCTACGAAAAAAAAGTTCCGGTCAAAATCGTGCGAAACACGTCAGGGCGTCCAAAGATCTCGCGTGACGAGGAGTCAGCTGAGTAGGTTGGACATCAGTCACGTGAGCGAAGATGGAGCCGTCCGTTGAGTACCGGAACTCGCGCTTCCACACCTTGGGCTTGCCGGAAAGGGCCATGTCGGGAAGATAGCTGTGCATACTAGAAAACGGCATTAGGGAATACACAAAATAACGATAATATGCATATTGAGGAAATTCAGCTCCGCCATGGGACAGATGCTTCCATGTCGGGTGAAAGTCCCGTGATTTGTATAGGGGGGGGTATAGGGGGGAAGTCCCACAAAGGGAAGCCCCTTCCCTCTGTGGGATAGCGTAACGAGCACGAACCGTGGTTTTCCTTTTTCTCTTTCTGGACTCGCGTCTTTTGTAAATTGTGTATGTCAAGCCCGAGACGATGACTAGTAACGTAAGGACAAGCGTAAGTATATAG